GCCAACAATAAAAAATTAAAAAAAAAAAATAAGGTCTCTTGTAAGCTACCACAGATAAGGGAAGGTACAATAACAATAAATTATTAGAAAAAAAAAAAAGTCCCAAAACACACCTAGAAACTGCAAGAGTCAGGTGGCAGCAATTGAAAAAACTAAGGTGCAAAATAGATGTGAACTTGTACAATCTTTCAATGAACTAACGGACTGACTTCACAATACAATTTAAATGCTAGGATTTCTCAACTATCTTAAGACAGTCCCAATTGAGGGATTTTTTTTTTCCTTATATAGAATAATTTCTTAAATGGAAGCACAAGATCACACTTAAATGGCTGATAAGCCTCAAAACAAATTAACTTCTTTATCAATAGTTTCCAGGCAGGTAGAATAAAGAGTAATCTTCATATATTCATATGGATAGTTTCATTTTAACAATGTTTTTCATTTAAAAAAAAAAGTCTATAAAAAAATGTTCTTTCAAAGGGACATCTAATAGAATCCTGAAGGCATTAAAACAATGAGTTAGAGATGGATCTACCAAACATGGACAGGCAACTAAGATGAAAAGAACTAAGTTCTATGAGAGGCAAACACAGAGAGAGAGAGAAAATACATAACATTTTGAAAGATGATACAAGAATATAAGACATTATATTCCTCCAGAGTGCAGGAATAAAGTCACAGACAGAAATAACCTGGTTGTACTGCATAATTTTTAGAAATGAACACTGTTAGAAGCATGTATTAATTTAGAATATAAAAAAAATTTTTCAAAATCTTTAAAAAACCTGATTGTACCCAATGCATCCTAGGAAACACTGACTATGTTAAGGTTAGTCTGGAACCCTTTGCTGTCTTTAGTTAATGATCACAGTCAAAATTAGAAGGCTCCTTGGTGTTTGCTTACTCTGTCTGCCACTCTACTCAAGAACGAAGGGAAAATGCTGAGAATTTACAATTCAAATCTCACCTTTATTGCTTACTCTGTAACTTGGATAACAAATATACAAGATTTTAGAGAACCAATAAAATAATTAATTCATGGGTATCTAAATCAGCAATCAAAATGTTTTATCTAGAATTACTTTTTTTCTTTTTTTTAAAAAAAGACTGAATTACAATATTCTATTGTCGAGCACTGTGTGTTAGACAAGCATAGATTTCAAAAATACATTCAAATATATAATGAATTTTCACTGTTGGCATAAAATAAACAATGGATAGAGGTTACTGGGTATACATTCTTAGAAAAGTATTCAATGGAAAAGATCATCACAAATTAAAACTTAAACTAAATCTAAAATCAGAATAAAAGATGCCACAGGAAAAGCTACTTCCCACTTATACTATCTATTCAGAATTGCCAACTCAAAGGCCTTGAAAAGCACCTGAGCTTGTAAGGAAAACGAGAGTGGTAGGCTAATGTCCTGCTAGTTGGATTCAAGAGTCAACTTTTTAAAACACTATGCCAGCCAAATAAAACAGCAGATAGAACTCAGAGTGTGGGCCATGAAAGTAAAACCCTACAAAGTAAAATGACTGGATTTTAATAATCTCCGGGTTTACAATACTTGAAGGTCTTAACAGATTAAATACCTCAGTGCCCATTATACTTCTAGAAATGAACTAGTGCTCAAATGCTTGTTGAATGAATAATATAAAACAAATGGCTTGTTTTCAAATACCTGATTAAATAATGAAAGGACCAATGAATTTAACAAATGAGTTGTGGAAATATATATCACTATGCTGGAGGTAGCCTGCAAAGCTTGGGAAATCTGCAGGATTATTTTCTCTTCTAAACTGCATTTCATAAATCAAAGTGTTAGGTCAAATCAGTCATATTGAAAATATTTGCTATCACAAGTATCTGTAAACACCACAGACAAGGCCCTTTTTCCTTCCTAAGAAATGGTTGTTATTAACAGGTCATAACTTTCCTAGCCTTGTATTTTTATAGATGACTAGGGTAACTCCACATCATGTATGAGCACAAGAGTGAGAACCTAATAAAGTAAGTTATACTTTATGTATGTATATTCTGCTAAAACACATTCTATTGTCATCTATAAGAAATTAACTTTTTATAGACAAGTTAAATAAAAATAAATAAAATTTTTAAAAAAGGAAATGGTTGTTAAACACTCACTAGTATAACAATGGATTACATCATGGTCATATATTCACTTGTTCAAATTCAATCACATAAAAAACGACACTGTTTTAAAATATACAAAGAAAATTACTGGTGAATTCAATGATAGGATAATGTAATACAAATTTTAATATGTTTTTAAAAGCAAATTTTACAACTGTACAAGGCACAAACTGCATCAGTAAAGGTGGAACACATCACAAAACAAGAGTCACTGTGATACTTCAGATGTGTCTTCAGTTTAAAATACATTCCAATATTTACCCTAAAGTTTAAATAAAACTCTAGAGAATATAATTTCATCAAATTATGTAAGAAATTCAAGCTAAATAATCAAGTATTTTTGGTACATGATGTAGAAAGTAACTTTCTTGAAATTTCAAAAGATTATGAAAGAATCTACTCACACATAATTATGACAGCATTGTAATCCAACAAAAAGATATGTGCTCCCAAGAGCAAAAGCTGTCACTAGCTTAAGTTTTCTATGCCTTGTGGATCTACTTCAAGGATTCTATGATAGTATAAAAAAGTAATTAGTAAAATGCCTGACATAAAGGGCCAAATAAAGCCACACCCCATAATACAACCACTATTAAGTACTTTAAAATAGTTAAACAATGTTTGAAGCCTGCAATTTCAACTGGAATTTCAGTTTTTCCCACCAAGCAAACAAAAATCTTAGTGCAGGAAGAAGTTATGTTTAACACTATCACCAACCCCCCCCCTCACCATGTACAAGTAAATACTGTTCAAAAAATGTACAAATTTAAAATATAGTGGGTTCTCAAAGTGTGATCCAGGGAAAGTCTCCCAAGACTCTATGAAAGCTGTACACGATCAAACTGTTCTCAAAATAATGCAAAGATATTATATTCCTCTTTGACACTTACGACTTCACAAGTGCATAATGTAGTTTTCCAGTGATCAGGTTATACAAATTAAAAAAAAAAAAAAAAAAAGAAATGCAAAAGCAGTCTGAGAACTTGTTCCTATTAAGCCAGACATTAAAAGGATATGCAAAATGTAAAACAATGATCCTGTTTTTCATAGTTTTGGTTTTTAAAGGTAATTTTTTTCATCAAAAAAATGTTTTCTATGTTAATAAGTAAGATTCTTATGGTAATATTTGTATGAATAAGCATGTTTTTAAGGTATCTCAGTATTATTTTTAATACAGTTAAATTCTGAAAGATATGTTTCACAGACAAAATCTCTTTGGGGATCTTCAAAACATTTAGATAATTATAATTATGGTTCTGAGACCAAAATGTTCCAGAACTGTAGATGGCAGTGGTAAAATGCAGCTAATTTTCCCTCTCCATCTTGCCAGTTGATAGGTACTATACCAAAGAGGATATAAGTCAGGAGCAAGGGATCTCCAGGTAAAGACTAATCCTTTCAAATATATAGAAGGAACTATTCTAAGGAATAATGCAATAACCTTAACTCCTTTTTTTAATATTTATTTTTTAGTTGTAGTTGGACACAATAGCTTTATTCTATTCATTTATTTTTATGTGGTGCTGGAGGATCAAACCCAGAGCCTTAGGCAAGTGCTCTACCGCTAAGCCACAACCCCAGCCCTTAACTTCTAATTTCACAAAAGTAGGGATAAAATATTCTTTATTAAAAAAAAAAACCAATAAAATATGCTTTTAAATTATACAGAACAAGTTTTTGCCATCCTAAAAGAAATGACTAATGTCTTTCCTGAACAAAGAACAGGAAAGAAGGTATGATTTAACTGGTGAACCAGGACATTAGGTCTTTAGTGATATCACTTCCAAGGATTTTCATTTTAGTAGTCAAAGTAATTCTGACAGTCTATATAAAATCAGAAGCAAATCTGAATAGAAAAGTCAAATGAAGTTGACTTTAAAAATAATGAACAATAAAGATCATGAGAAAATCCATTTTTAAAGATGGATGTCTTCTGGATCTAACCTAATCCACCTTGACTTTATGAGCTCGCACTGAAAATTCTTAAATTCCCATTTAATTACAAATTTCAAGATTTACCCAGAAAAAAATAGTCTTTATAAAATTATTTTGATAACAACTGTTTAATTATACTTCTTAGAAGGAAACCCTGGTACTTGGGTACTGGCCTACAATTATATAGCATAACTTTTGTACATATGAAATTGATTTGGACCCAATACAATCTAAAACAGAAATTCAAAACATTTCTTAAATTTTCCCTTCATGAAAAATGGGCTGAAGGATTCCACCCAAATGTAGAACTATTTAAAGACTATACCCACACATACCTGGACCAATGCAGCAATTATTTAATTCTAAGAGAAATAGGGCTCAGAAAAGGGACAGAGATTTCCCAGTCTTCTTGCTTATCAAAACAGTTCAGATAACTATCCTTTCAGTTAGGTGTGCACTGGACAGCAATAATCTAAAAAGTCCACAACACTATATAAAGATTTTAAAACACTAAGGTAACAACTCATGTATGTAGTCATCATTGCAAAAGGCTTTCAACATGAATAAAGTATTTGAGGAAACTGATGTTCACCTCTTAATACCAAACTTTTAAAATTTTTTTAATCGTTTTAAGATAAAACTTTTCATATATATTACATATCTATGTATGTAATTTCACCTTTTCTTGGTGACACAGCGTTATAACAACAGATAATTATTAGAAAGTGATATATTGATGTTCTCTAGGCTGGGCTGCCTGCCCCTCACTAAATGGTCCTGAACAGTGTATACTCTTCAGTTTCTTTACCTTCTTCCTTTCAAGCCATCACTTCTGAACTACTAATATGCTATGAGCTAGGAAATCAAATAATCAAAATTATTAAAATCTCACACAAAAACAAATGCATAAGCTCTAACATATAGATTTTATGACTTAGATAAGTTGTTCAGACACATATTTTAAAAATTACTCCAAGTTTCTTGGTTGTGTTCCATTTTGATGAGACTGCCAGATTACTCTGGATGAATGAAGCATTACTATATATAAATATTAAAACAAGTTCATTTGAATATTAACAAAAAGATATAACTAAACTTAGTATCACTGCCTTTTTAAACAAAGTATTCCAAAACTTTAAGGTAACATTGGGTTCCAGCTTTCCCCCCCCCAAAATGAACATAAACATATGTCCTATCAATAATATCAATTTGTCCAGAAAAGGGGGTAGGGGAACAACTGAGGTGCAATCATGTCACAGTTAATGCATGTCTGCTTTCAATACATTCAAAGACAATTAAAATTAAAAAAATCAATAGTTAAAATAGGCCTTTTGCAGTCTTGAGAAATTCAAAATCTTTTAAAAAATTTTGTAAATAACACATACATGCAAATTCTTTATATACAAATTTCACAAAATAAGGAAGTTGCAAAGAAAGTAGAAGTATTACGGTGAATCTGACAAGCTACATTTAAATGCTTTACCACTGACATATTCCTGAATATAGCAATCCTAGTAGTTTTAATAAATTTTCTACATGGCCTTTTTATAAAAAGTTAGTCACTAGAAGTCTTTAAGAATTCAAGATGTTCTCAATTCACTACTCATATTTAAGGCCACTTTGGTAAAGGCATTGCAGCAAGAACACAAAAACAATAGCATATTTTCTAATATTTATTTTTTCACCTGCAAACTGTAGCAAAACATGATCAGCTTTATTATGCAGACAGGTATCCCTCTACATTTTTAAAGAATTTAGGCATGTATAAATAGAAGAGCTCTTTAGAAAGGAAAAATTCAAGAACGAATAAAACCTTCCAATTTTGACTTTGTAACTTTCCAGTAGCAATGGTTAAAATGATTTAGGTCATTCATTCCAAGATATATGACAGCACCTTAAAAGTGGCTGATCTATTTCCCCTGTAACATTTCTCACACAACAATGTGTTAAAGTTACAAATACTGATATGCACAAATAGCTAATTACTAAGAAAAATATGTACAGTACTGCAGCATAATGAATGTGGTATCTGCAATAACTTAATATTAGCCAATTTTTAATATACATGATACCGCTACCTTTTTCTGCCAATTCACAGGTTAAAAGTTGTTACTGGAGCCCTCTGTTTTGCACATATTACCTGGTGTTTAATACACAATGCAGGCTTTTTAAAGACTTCTCTTGTGTTTAAAGCTAAGATCAGTGAAACAAGACAACAGTGCAAGAGGCGGAGAGATGTAATGTGACCACATAAAAGTTCGTTCCAGTAAAGTGTCTATATAAGGCTATAAGAAAGGATTGGTTGATGAGCTTCCTGTTGGAAATTGTCCTGTTGGTGCACCAGTCTAAAGGGAAACACAAGACAAAACAGACAAAAGTGATGTGTGTGCAAAATATGAAAACATTAAATTCTACTTAATATTTATCTAGGTAATTTTATTTCTATTAGAATTATTATTATTTTCAATAACATTTATTATAATGGTTACTGGCAACAAACTATAATACTACTATTATTATGTATCCTAGACTGTGCTGTATCTTTCACAGCCATTATTTCAAACAATTCTTGTAAGATAATCTAAGAGGAGACTTGGTCCTTTAATAGAAGAACTTGTTTTTCAAACAAAAATCTCTTCCTTTTCATACTGATTCATTAAATCCTACAGCCTCTCCTAAAGTGTTATTTTGACAACAAAGCAGATTAAGTTTTATATTATAAAATTTATTTACTGTCAGTGCTTTGATTTACAACTAATTATTTTTAAAGGTCAGATAAAGAACATGCATAATTGACTCTTGTCTCAATTTGTACATCTTGTCATATCAGAACAAAAACAGCATGTATGGATATACACATCCTGTTTTTCCTTGAGGCATCAACTTATATAGTAGTTAAAATTGAATTTCACTTACCATAAAAGGATTACTAGATACTCCAGCAGCTGCAACTTGACCAAAAGCAGTTACCACTGGCTTTGTTTGTCCAAATGCTGCAAAACCTGCACCTTTTGAAAACAGAATCCTCAATTATAAGATAATCGGATGTTTATTAAGTCTCATATAATAACTTTCAGAGAAATTCTTACCAGAGGAGCAAAACTAAAAATAATCAAAGTTTAACTGTTATGTCTAACAGTTCTTTCAGAAGCTGGAGATAAACTTCCTATGACATGTCTTAAAATAAGTTCTCACAAAGCCCTTAAGAAATGAATATAGCATAATGGATCTTACTTTTATGTATAATAATAATACATCAATTAAAAATAAATTTAAAAAATAAATAAAGGGCAACCATTACAGGAGGAGGAGGAGCTCAGATGACTGGGAGAGGAGAAGGAAAGGTGAAATACTAGGATGAAATGAAGCAAATTATGTTATGTGCATGTATGATAGGTCATAAGAATCCCACTATTATGCATAATTAAAATGCATATATGAAAATATAATTTAAAAAGCAAATGTGGTGTATATATATACAAATACTATAAAAAAGAAATGACTGATTCTAGCTTTACTTAACTGATAACTTGTGACTGGGAGGAGTTGTGTGGGTGGACCACACAACAATTTCTACATAAATCATAGTATTTATTTAGAAATACTTTATCATTTATGGCTCTTCCATAGACCATATTTTCAGACTTTTATCTAACTGGTGACTTAAAAAAAATGTGTTGTGATTCAAAAATAATCATTAAAAAAATCCCATGGATTTCACACTTCAGCAAATGTGAAAAATAGGTAAAACAAATTGTTGTATCTTCTCAAGTCTTCAATTTAGAAAATCGCTCTTATACACACACCCCACACCCTTATACAAAAAAAGCACAAGGCAACATTTTTGTGATGACAAAACAAACTAATACTAAAAGCCTATAGTTTCCTTTTCAAATCAAAAAACATACAAGATGAATTGAAAAGAAAAAAAAAAAGAAACTGGTTGACTTTGAGAAGGAAGGGGTATACTCTTTAGAAAGCTGTCATTTCAAAGTCCAAGCAAATTTTCCCAAAATCTGTAATCTGGGCGCAGTAACTCAAAAAATCATTGTTTTCTGAGATCAAAATCACTGGAGGCTTCTATTTTTGTACAGTAAAAGCTCAGCACATAACACTATAGCATTCTTTAGGTAAGTCTTTGTTCCAAACACCTTATATTATATTATAATATATAAAGGATATCTAAAGTGGACTTACTGCTATTCAAGTGTCAGTTCTTACCATTGGGTTGTTGAGAAAAAGCTGTTTGTTGAGGGAAAGCTGCTTGGGCTGGGAAGGCGGGCTGCTGAAAACTGCCACTAAAGCTGGTGGGAAGACTATAGGGAGCAGGAGTGCCAAATCCTGCAGGCATGCTCATGGATGCAGTGCCAAAGGTTGCCGCTGACAGAAAGAAAAAAAGGGATAATCAGTTACGCAAAAAAAAAGGGGGGGGGAGACAGTATGCTTCTTATACTCAACATTGTACAATACACAACTTACGTTGAAAAATACTAAGACATATATTAGAGGCATCTGAAATTCCAACAAAGAAGTAATAAACCAGGAAATTTTGTTCTCCTGAAACCCATGACAAGAATGAAACTACTAAAGCTGTCATTTCAAAGTCCAAGCAAATTTCTCAAATATATAATGTGCTTTTTAAAGCACATTATAATGCAATTCACATGTATATGAGTATACATTTTTATTTTTAGGTTTGTTTTGCCATATACAATAATAACCAAAATTTTAATTTTATTCCCTAAGGTGTATGTCCCTGGAAAACCATTTTAAATTCTCAACAGAAGAGTTCACTAAAAATAATTGGACTTATAGGAGAAAGAGGATTAGAGGCAGACCAGTAAAATCTATTTAGATTTGTAACAAGGGGGGAAAAAAAAAAAAAAACATTTGAAAACCAAAAACACTACTACAGCCAGGTAGGTAGTACATGCCTATAATCCCAGTGGCTTTGGAGGCTAAGGCAGGAGGATTTTAAGTTCAAAGCCAGCCTCAGCAATTTAGCAAGACTATGTCTCAAAAAAAGGGCTGGGGGATGTGGCTCAGTGGTAAATCACCCTTGGCTTCAACCCCAGTACCAAAAACAAAAACAGCAACAACAAAACACTGACACAATTAAAAGGACATGTTCACTTCCTACTACATCAATTAAAATAAACCAAGAATTCCCATCCTTTTTGAAAGGTAAATAAAAATAACTTTAGAAGAGGACCGAGAAACATGGGGACTACTAAACAATAAAAATTAGAACAAAATGCAGAAAGATTGAAAAGGGCATTCTTAGAAAAGAAAGAATGTAGGGTAAGAAGGTAACAGTACTACTGTACTCCTCCTTGGATCTGTGTCCCACTGCTATAACGTAATAGCAAAACATTAACATGCTGGAGGAGACCTGGGTGTGAACTACCTACCATACTTCCTAATCATCATTTATAAATTAATTCACACAACAAAAACATATAGTAGCAGAACAGTGTTTTTTTATTGCTAGTAAATATTTAAATAGCACCTTTCCACCTATTGGTCCTAAGAAGGCACTCAGTAAAACAAGATATAATATTGATTTAAATAGACTTCTAGTAATAACATAATGAAATATTGTAAGCATGCTACTATCAAAATACCATAACACACTGAACTTCCTGATCTTAAAAAAATTAACATGATCACTGATTAAAATCACAAAAATTACTTAATACTAAAGGTATTCCATAAAATCTATATTTTCTTCTTAAAAAAGAAAAATAAAAAACAAGTTATAGATGTTGCCCAAAGTAATACAAGAGTTCTAGTGTTTATAACAATGCGATTTTGCTTAATAAATTAGTTCTAACTACACATCAAACTTTAAAAATTTAATTGTTACTGACATATAAAAAAGGGAAAATAGGCACTGGGAAGCAAGTGAAAGAATAAGCAGCACACTGAAAGGGAAACAGGAAGGTATTACAGACATTAATGCACTGACATAACTTCGACAAATCACTGTTTAAGAAAGCACTAAAAAGCAATACTGGGATACAGTTAAGCAAAACCAAACTCCATGGAATATGTTAAAATGGTTTGGTATATCAAAAAGGTATCACTTAAAGTACTATGAATCCAAACTTAAGAAAAAGAATCAAAAAAGCTACTAACATTCTACTGTGACCATGGAGGTAAGCAATAATGCTTTTCAGCATTAAAACATAAATCACTATGAAAAGATTTTCATATAACTTTAATACAACATGATCTCGATGCCACACATCCATGCCCACTCCATTTTAAAACATGGAAAAACTTAATTCCACATGCAAGGATCCAGAACGCTAGCAGAAGCTTCAACAAGCAGGTAGACAAATTGCCACACAAATCTAGATATTAGTTGTGGCCACCTACCAAAATGAGCGTGAGGAAACACTTGAGAATGCATTGCTCCAGAAAGGCCTTATGGAAAGCCATAAAGAGACCAATGTCAATTAAGTCGTGAACAACTACTGTTCAAATAAAGTAAATTTGTTTCATTAAATAATTCTCAAATTAGAATGTGCTGTTGCCAACTGGATAGCATAAAAATATATACATTAAAACACAATCACAAAATGAGCATTTTTATTCCAAGTATATTCACAATACTATAATATTTATACCACTTGAAATAAGGAAAAATTTAAGAGAATAAATATCGAATGAAGAAACATTCATGAAATTCAATTTCTAAAAAAAAGCACTGACATTATTTTCAGGTGAAGATACAACTATATGTATAAAAAAAGATTTGTACACATCATGAGCTGCATCCAAAAATGCTATTTAGCATCTAAACCCCAAGTCTTAAGATAAAGCAACGGAACAATGCCAGATCATTTTATTTACAACTCAACTAGAAATACATAAAGATGACTCAAATTAACTAAGTATCATACAGGTAAAATTATTAAACATGGTTTACTAAAAAGGTGAGTGGGGACTTTCAGCTTAAAATACAATCACCTTTAAGAGGAAGAAAAATGTATCTTGTGCATCTTACATACCTGGCACGTTTGAGGATAAAGAGGTTACATATAAAGATATGTAATTAACAGAAGACAAACAGGTTTTGCTGAACACTAAAACCTTTTTTCACTGTTGTTTAACAAAAAGGAAAGGGGCTATTTCTAAAATATATTTCTATGCATTTTAAAATACGATACTTTTAAGATTAGCATAAATTTGAGGAAACTGAATCAATGTTGGTTCTGCCATTGTCTAGGAGCACGATGTTACTTAATAGGGGGCATGAAGTGACCAAGCAGAACCTATGCATTTCACAAAGCTGTTAAGAAGATTAAATGTAACAATGAATCAAAGTGCTGTATATTAAACAGTCAACAAATGTATTTTTCTTCCTAAATTAGAAAAATATACACATAGAGCACACATACATACTGTGCTCTTAATTCAACCAAAGGTTAACTGAAGGAGTGTTCTGTGTTAAGTTTGGTCACTTGACATTTATCTCCTTTTTAGACCACTCTAAAGCTTTAAGAAGTCCTGGCATTTCCCATCTGTACTTAAGCATAGAATCCTTTTCCATGAAATACTGCTACAAGATTCAGTCAACAGTCACTGTTAAAATTAATAGTAACCACTATATTTCAGTATGGAACAAAGATGCCAATCCCTAAGCTTTGGAGTACCAAAAACGCTATAAATTTTTCTTAAATAACTTTCAAGATATAATCCACGTCATACAATTTATCCGTTGAAAGTACAGAATTCAATATTAATATATATACACAGATATTGTACAAACATCACCACAATCTAATTTTAGATTACTTTTTTATCCCCTCTAAAAGAAATTCTATATCCAAAGGCTACTATTTCCCATACTGCCCCATCATTACCACCATCTCAGCCTACTACAATCACTAATCAACTATGATAAATCAATCTATTTTCTGTCTCTGTAGATTTTATTGTTCTGGGCATTTTATACAAATAGAACAATAAATGAGTAGACTTGTAAGTAGCTAATGTTTTATTTAGAATAAAAATCTCAAGGTTCATCCATGTACATAATTACTTCATTACATATTATCATCAAAAAATATTCCACTGTATGGCTATTCAGCATTTGGCTTCTTCAGTTGATGATATGTGGGTTAATATATATAGGGTTGATGATATTTGTTTTCATTTGGGGGGCACTGTGAACAATATGGACATAAACACTTGTGTAAACAAGTTTTTTTGTGTGAATGTTTCCTTTCCTTGGGGGTATATTCCTAATAGGGGAACTACTCTATGTTGACCTTTTTGAGCACAGATATACCATTTCATATTCCCACAAGCAATGTATGCAGTTTGGCATTTCTCTATATCTTCACTAATAATTATTATCAGAGCCATCATAGGTGTGAAGTAGCAACTCACAGTAATTTCGATTTTCATTCCTCTACTAACTAATAGTATCTTTTCATGTGTTTACCAACTATATGCCCCCTTGGAGAAATGTCTATTCAAAATATCTTTTGTCAATTTTTAAATTGGGTTGTCATTTTATTATTGAGTTGTAAGAATTCTTCACATTTTATTAATAAGTCCATTGTGAGATATGTGACTTGACAATATTTTCTCCAGACTGCTATGAAGTTTAACTTTTTGTTGTGTTCATTTTTATATCTATCTATTTCCGTTTTAAAGTACCAACTGCAAATTATTAAATGTTCGAGATGTCCAAATATTAAGAGCAATTTGAGGAACATGGTGAGTATATCAGCTCCTCTATTACAAAAATGTCTTATACAACCTAATGGAACTCTCTACTTAGGTTTTCTTTCGTTTTTCTTCAATTACCCCCATTCCTTTTTTTTTTTTTTTTTTTTTAATCTCATTTCCAGAGTGAGGTGGGCCTACTGAAACAAGTACATATGCTTATCAGTGTATGTTACAGAAATGCAAAATCTTACTGGAATGAAAAAAGTACTGGTTTACAAGTGTCCTGAATGTTAATATCAAGTTTAGCCATTACTTAATATTGAACCCTAAAGGCAAATTGGTTTCTACCTAGGTAATAAAATAAGGCTGTGGTGTCTGGATACTACCTATGGAATCTTTCAGCTCTACATTTCTATAAGTTTATCTCCCTGGAAAGAAAAAAATTCTTTAAAACAGAAAATAAAGTTCATTTTTTTCAAAAGGACTTCTGAAAAAAAGGGCATAGTATAAGTGAGAGAAGTTGTAAGAGAATTGCCTAATAAATGACAATTATCTTAATTCTATTAATTGGATTTAAGGACTGAGGCTGGGAGAGGACTCTGCTAAATGTCACAGAATCCTAAAATTAAAAGAATACTTAAACCATGCAGGGTAATCTCCTAAAGAAGGTTCTTAAATAATATGTTAAAAGTTAAAGCTCCAAAGTCTTGAAAATCCAGGAAGTATACTGGTAAGACTTTTCAAATTTCACATGAAACTGTTCTGAATTGTCCTTTTTCAAAAGCTATCTCAATTTTGTTGATATAAAGTAGTGAAAATTCGTAGTCATAAGGACAGTCCATCAAAGTTCTATTCATATTTTAGCTTCAATAGAAACATGCAACATTTGCTTTAATGCATTCAATAATAACCTAAAAAATATAACCAATGTGATAAATCCAAAAATGACTTATAATATAAAAATATTTTACCTCAAAATAAAAATTTATGGACATAGTATATTTATCATTCTAATAAACTATGCTCATATCAAAATTGATTTATCACGTATATATTTTAAGATTTTATATCCTATGTAGAATCATAGTTTTTAAAAGACTTTCATGTTCTAAAACATAATAAGCGAAAGAGTTCTTAATTCTGAGGACAGAACTTAGAGGTACAATCAATGAAAAGAAAACACTAAAGTAAAATGCATTAAATATATAATCACACAGTGATTTACATCATTTGATTTTACACCAACACTGACAGAGAATACTGAACACATTTTTATAAATAAATACAGCAATAAGGATCAGATTATTTAGTGATTATAACCTCAGACAAGTTTTCAGTTTTCATTCCTCAGTTGCTAAAATGTGGAAATCTATAAACTCATCAATGGTACCTTGCAAACAACTTTAACAAATATTAATACATCTCCCTATCATCCTTATCCCATTCATTAATAAAATATAAAAAACATTCTTAGTATCACCTAGCAGATAAATACTAAATCAGGATTTGAACTCAAGCTGGCTATACCCATTTAATTTTTCTAAGCCTCAGTTTGCTCAATTCTTACACCAGGATTAAGACAGTTATTTGATGGGAGCTTCAACAATTAAATGAGACAATGTTTAAAAGCCTATTGTGTCACTGAAATATTTTACAAATTCCTTCCACTAATTCAAAATAATACAGCAAGAAACAGCAAGGTCATATACCAAATAAAAAAGAAATAATACAAATAGAAATTTAAAGCAATCATTGGTTAGGTATACTTAACAACCAAAAGCACAATAGAAATTTTAAATAATCATTGTATTAGATTGACCTAAATTTAAAAATAAACCATTTTTAAAAAATTAAATTTTATGTGGAATTCAAAGTTATTTTAAACAACTATTATGTTAAATACCAAAAATTCATAACCAAAGATATTTATGCAAGATGAAAATAAGAAGTTATCTACTACTAGCATCACAATTCTTAATCTTACCAATAACAAAGAGATTTAATAAAAATCACTAATTTTTTATAAGATTTAATCTAATTGCAATGTTGTAAGTACCTACTTACTCTCTCAAGATTTTATATCAACATTTGCTAAAATTGGAATCAAAACTTTGGTTCTAGAACTACACAAAATCAAAGTTCACAAAGTCTTCATTTAATGGATACCGTCATACCACCTGTACTTTCTGACATTCCAAGGTGATGGCAAAGAGCTCTGATGTACAGCATAATAAGACGAAACTTAAAGAAAAACAATATGAGAAAGATGTAACAAATCCCATTCATCTGATGTGGTCTCATGGGGAAAAACAAAATTCTCATAAAATGTTCTATTAAGACTGAATGACTCACAGCCAGAAATTCTAAATCCAAACCAACAAATGTTACTTAGTTCAATTCCAGACCAACAAAAATTACCAGGTTTAAGCTCCTCTTTGGTCATATATTAGCTATATGACTCTAAAGAAATCTCATTCCCATTTGATCTTCCCTACCTGAAAAATGAAAGGTTTGGCCAGAAAGGGAACACTACATCTTTTTTAAGGTTCTTCTCAACTGTTAAATTCCAAAATTGTGTAAATTTCTCACTAGCTTTTGTCTTTATGGACTAACTTTTCTTTCCAGTTTCAATTCACTTTAGTAAGAGACAGGCCCCATTTTGCGATGTTATTCACAAGGTCTTTGTGATAAATTACTTCCCCAATGCTTACTGTTTCATATTCGAGTCTTTTTTTCCCCTTACCTGTTGCTCCTCTGGCATTTGTCTGAAATGGATTTGTAGAAGATGCCACAGAAGGACCAGCAGCAGCAACAAATGGATTTGTGGAAGGCGTAGCTTTAAAAAATTATAAAATATACTATAAAATCCTAATTTATTTTGTATTCAATATTTTAAATATTTATTCACTATATTTATAAAGATAGAAAACATAAGCTTTGTGATAATAAATCATTGCTTTGAGTGCCCCTTGGTACCCTTAAGAAAATGCTACACAATACATACTTAGGTTCTTTATAAAAACCAATCAATATATATCAGGAGTACATACCTCCAAATGGAGCAGGCACACTAGAAGAAGCAGGTTGGGTCTGTGCAGAAGCACCCACTGGCACTGTTCCAAAAACATTGCTGAAAACAAAAATCAAAAGTAATGTGCCTGCAGGGTAGCCATAGAATATGGAAACAGATAACACTGAACATATCATGATATAGCAATTCTGAAACTTTTTGAGTCTCTCTCAAAATGTATTTACACTTTAAAATACATTATTATCCAAATAATCGACAAATATTTTATGTATATTACATTCATCAGTTTGTATCATAGAGAAAATAAACTTGAGAACTTTAGAAAAATATTCCTCAGGTTTAAAAATAATTTAAGCTATAACACAAATAATACTTTTGTAATAACTATTTTTAAAATAAAATGAACTTAATGAGAAGGTAGATTGTTTTATATTTCTGAATATCCCTTTAATGGTTGGCTTAATAGAGGACCAATATATTTTAAGAGCTTTAGTAGATAATTGTGGAAATCATATAAAAAACAACAGTGATAGTTTCTTAAAGATTAACTGAAATATGGAATTTGAAACCATATCAATGAACTTTCTACACTCCATTAAACTAAAGTTCACTGGTCTATCCTGTACTTTAAATGAATCTTTTACCAATTTTATATCATATATTGGTCATTTGAAAAACACTTGTTTTGGCCAGTCACAGTGCTGCATGCCTATAATCCCAGGAGCTTGGGAGGCTGAGGCGTCAGGACGATCGCAAGTTCAAAGCCAGCCTCAGCAACAGTGAAGCGCTAAGCAACTCAGTGAGACCCTGTCTCTAAAGGAAATACAAAATAGGGCTAGGGGTATGGCTCAGTGGTTGAGTGCCCCTAAGTTCAACCCCTAGTACCAAAACAAGAGGAAAAAAAAAGAAAGAAAGAAAAATACTTGTTTTATCAGCTTATGACAATCTTCCAAATGTTGTCATATTTCTTCATACAAAATTTAAAAATCACATCAATATGGCTAACCATAACATCCAACAATTAATGAGAAGCTGTCAAGCTCGTGATAGTCTATTAATTTTCCAAAGTCTTCTGATATTTGTGGAAAACATCAATTTCATCAGTGATTTTTTTTAGTGACAAACCTATTTTTTGGAATATGTCTGAAAAATACTCAAATCTGAATAGTAATGGTTAGTCTCTGAGTCAAAGAAAAATGGTGTTCTATAAAATAAGAGGCTACTTCTTTCCACAACTCAACCAACTCTACAAGTAATTTCTTGTTAATTGACAACTTTTTTTTTTAAATTGTTAATTTGTTGTTAATTGACAACTACATGCACCAGAATCACTTCATGTATACCTTATTTAACATAGAAAAATCAATAAGACATATTAAGGATAAAGATTTAATAACATTTAAAATGTTACCACTTCATCAAGAATACTGATACGAAAAAACTGATTAGGAATATTCACAAGTAAAACAATGTGTGGTGCTGAGAAACACAGAGACTACTGAATGACCACTATCTTAGTTTATGTTAAGACACCTACAGTTTCACTTGCCATTCCTTACTCCATCAATACAAATGTCAATTGGCAAAAAAGAAAACAAACTTTCAGAATTATTGTAGAAAGTTTTTTAACCTCAGTTTCCTCTGTAATAATTTTAGGTACCCCAAATATTCTATGGACTACTCTTTGTGCACCACCAATATACAGCAATATAATATTAATAAACCATTTGTACTGTATAACTCATCTAAGTTTCCTGAGTTTATGGTCACCTAGTTATAGTTCATTATTAATATCTAATATGGACAATCTTAATACATATCCTAAATTTTTTTCCCATTTGGTGCATAAAAAATTCATTATCAAACAGTTCAAGGAGGTAGTGTTAGAATTCTGCAATTTCTCTCTAGAAAGGCTGTGAAAGGATAATAAGAGAAAAAAGCAGGTAACAATCCACAGGCATGGGAAGTAGAGATGATTAAAATTGTACAGGCAATTCTCTGGGGGTCTGTTTTCTTGACCCTAAAATGAACAGTTTTTAAAAATCTAATATTTTAAAATGAGTTAAACTTTCTACTATAAAGAATTTCTGTATATCAAACACACATAAAATTGGTAGATCTTTGAATTTATAAATACCAATATGACAATAAAATGTAATGCAAACTGTTCACACCAAAACACAAATTGATGTTGTGTTTTGGTGTGAATAGTTCTAAAAATTAAGACTACAATATAGTACTTTCACTGTTTAGTCTCTGATTAAAAACTGAACCTTATGAGTATGTAATTTGACTGCTAAATGGATTATATGATGAGTATAATCTGTATGTAACCATCCATTTAAAGATGTGTACTCTCCGAATTACATTTTAGCACTCAAGGATGAAAAGGAACAAAACTTTTGGTTCAATGAAGGAGAAAATTATGAAAATTACTCAAGGATTATATTAACAAATTACTCAAGGATTATATTAACAAATTAAACAACTGCCTCAGATATAAAAACTATTCAATCATTTTTATATGATACCCTCAGTTATTACTGAACTATATTATTCATAGTTGAAAAAAATTAAAAGATAAAACACAAAGCAAAAATATTAAGACAAAATACCTGCTAGCATTACTTGTGGAAGTATATGCATTACTGGAAGTGGCAGCAGAACTAAAAACACTGTCTAATTCTGCCAGGGCTGCATACTTGTCTGACGATGCACTTGAATGACTGGGAACTGAAACCACAGAACCAACAGGAGCTTTACCTGTGGTCCCAAAACCACTCCCTTGATCACCACCTGAGAATGAACAAAAAAAACACCACACTTTAAAATTATACTTTTACCTTATCAACTACATTTGCCGTGAAAAACTAATAAATTTAAAACTAACATGGTACTAAAACAATTAAATAAATAAATAAAATATATGAACAGGATTCTGGGGTCTTTCAGTCTAGTACCTACAACGTTGGACCAGATTAGTTGTTATACATACCACTATAGACAGAATGCTATTTTTCTCTAGCATTATATGTCTATATTATGCATAGAAAAGAAATTCTCAAGGAAATCCAGGACAGGTGGATCTCATTCAAGTGAATATATAAATTCATAAAGTGCTAGACCTGTGGTGGACAACCTATTACTAGTTATCATTTTCCCAAGGTTTTCCATGTTTTTTAAAAAAAAGTAGAAAGCATTTATTAAGCACTTATTATGTGCTGGGTACTGCTCTGAATAACTTACATGCAGTAATACACAGAACACAATCTCATGAGTTTAATGCTATTATCACTCTCACCTTGGAGATGAGGAAAAAAAAAAAAAAAGAGAGAGACCCAGAGATCAGAATGTGGAAACCAGTCTAGCTCCAGACTCCTACTGTTCGCCATTGCACTACGTACTTTTAGATGTAAAATAATGACCTTAAGATGAAAACATGGAATGGAAATATGTTGCTTTTTATATAGATTTTTAAAATACCAAATAATAGCAGGAAATAGTTCAAAATACAGAAACCACCAAATAACCCTTTAGGCAGCTCTCTTAGTAAAATTTATTGGCTCCTTATTGCCACAGAGTAATAAAGCTTGCTTTCTAGGATAAAATAAAAATTTTCAATTATTTTATTTTAAAAGTGTAAGTTCATAAATTAATTTCTAAGCCTTCAATTTTGTAGTTGGTAATTCAGATCCAAAACCTCAAAGTGAAAATTCCGTTCAAAATAGTGTGGACAATATATCTATACAAATGGGAAAAATATTTTAATAAATATAACCAAATTTTGAGTACTGTTTGATATACAAATTTGTGTTTATTTTGTTTAAAGCTTGATACCTAGGGGTTGGAAATGCAGCTCAGGGTAGAATGCTTGCCTAGCATACCCAAGGCCGTGGATTCAATCCCCAGCACCACCACAAAAAAAAAAAAAAAAGCTCGGTACCTTGCCCAGCACTGAAGATATTATCTAAATTAGCAAGTGCTGCATATTTGTCTGCTGTCTGTAAACCAGCTTTGTTTGCTGAAACTTTACTAATAGCTGATGCTGTCTGATGACTCTGGGAAGCATTGAAGGTTCCAAAATCAGCACTGGAGGATTTGGGGAAGTTATCAAAATGAGCAAAATTAGCATTTACTGATCCAGCACTTCCACCTGTAACAAAATAAACAGAACACTTGAAATTTCTACACTTTTTTCCCAGTACTCTTTGGTAGATAATTTGATCATTTCTTCCTAAATTATCTTACAAAGATTATACAGGACATTCTTATAACAAGGTACATGATATTATGATCCCATACATTCTTGAAATCATGTATATAATCATGTATGACCTTATAATCATGTACATTCTTAAAATCAGTGGCTGGTGAATCATCTTAATCATCTACATGTGCCTTTTTATAATTTATGAAACTAGAATCCAAAGGACCTGGAGGGAAGACTATTGGGGTGGGGTGGGGGGCTAGGGTTAACTGGTTAAAACTCAGTTACTTCACTGAACATCCAGCTATATGCCATGATCTTTGACTAGTTCTCCTTCAACAGACTATACCAGCAAGATGCAAAATATCTTACTTGGAGGGTTCAAGCTTTTGAAGCTCTATGGCAACACAGTTTAAACAAATCCCAGGGATAGAAGCTAACAATATTTAAATCTATTATTTTGATCAAGAACTTTTTAAAAAGACAGCCATTGATCTTTACATTTAATTTCATTTTAAGAGCTATTATTTAATTTTACATAGTAATTTAATGTGCATTCAATATCATGATGCTCACAGTAAACCCATATAGTTATACATAATAATTATACTGTACTTTTTGATAGAAAAATGTTTTAATCAACACAAGTTTACACATTGACACAGCTAAACTAGAATGCCTCTATTTTAGAACTTTCCTCAAGTACTGACAAAATAGTCAGTATATTTCATACCATGCTTTTGATCCTATACTTCTGATATATCGTTCTTCATTCCTAAACCATACTTTCCGTAATCAAAATGGCATATACATATGGTTATGTATTAAGGTGACAGCCAAGTACACTTAGAGATACTTTTAAAACAGACTGAAGGTGCTTCTATGTGAAAACCATGAACACTTTCATTAGTCAGTTCTTTAGACATTCTAAAACAAATAATATACTAATAAAAAATTTTCAGAAATTAAACTGTGGTTGTTATAATTGAAGCTAACAAAAGTGTGCTTTATTTAAAAGATAGTGAGCTGTTACAAGGAAATGGCAAAACAAATGCTAAACTTCTAAAATTTTTATGAAAAATTTTATTTCAAAACTACCAATTAAGTTTGATTAAATATAGCTGTGTAAAAAAACTGAGCTCAATAGTAGAGGAGAGTAAAAGTATAAATTTATAAAGGATTAGAATTACAAAATGATTAATAATCTATATTTGAAAACACCCATGAGATATAGCACAAAACATACAAATTAGTTAAAAAAAAAAAAAAGAAGCCTACTGGACAACAGAACTTACTGTGGGTAGCCTGGAGAGGAAAAGCTGAAGTAAATTCACCAAAACTGCAGCTAGATGAAAGCATTCTAAATGCTGGACAGCCAGAAATTATATAAATGATGACAGTTAAAGAAAAAAAAAAAGAAAATTGAAAGAAAAGGCTTTAAGACAATACATACAGATTAAAAAGTTGAAAGAAAAGCAATCAGCCAAATATCTAAACAATGATTTAATGACTGCAAATGGTACAGTTTGTGGGAGAATATTAAATGTTTAAAGACCAATTCCTGCACAGAAAACAATTTCTATGTTTGATTAAAGTGATTATTATTAATCTATAATAACATTTAGAATTTTTTCTCAAGCTTGTTGCTCTTGAAGTTACTTCCACTTTTAGTTCTATGGAAGCAATTAGCTTCCCTTATTCAGACATAAAATGATGGCCTAAATCAATGTGCTCCATGAACCTAAAACACTTTAATGTCCCTTTGCATGGGAAATTTAAGCAAGATTCATGTGCAGGAAAAGGAAGAGAATGAATGCAGTGAATTAGACAATATACTAAAAGAGTTCAGAAAAGCAAAAAGAACAGAAAAAATAAAAGATTGCAGATTTCCCCAGAGCTTTGTAAGACAGAACTACTTTAAAGTCAGGTAATCAATAGAATTTAATTTTTAAAACTATACCTACAGAGTTTTATTGTTGTTGTTGTTGTGGTTTTTAAAGTAAACATTTAAGCATAATTCTGGAGAAGCTCTACCTGTAGTTTGGGGTTGGAAAGGAGAGTGACTTGCTGTGGGGAAACCTCCAAAATTACTCGAACCACTAGACTGTCCAAATGTATCAAAGTTTGCAAAATCTGCATTTGCAGAATTCTGAGCTGTAAATGGCAAGGAACAACATACGTTAATGAATATGAAAAGTACAAATGAAAATTCATGACAAATGAATTTAAGAATTTTATGAAAAGTGTCAAGGCATCAAAACTCACATTAAAGAGAATTCATTTAGAAATCAGACTTACAAGAATTTAACCTACAAAACTTCAGTCCTACAAGAATTTAACCCAAATATAACTATTTACTAACGGGTATCCAGAAATTTCCAAAAATATTGTGTGAAAAGATAATCTGTACACAATACCCTTTGAATAGCCTCAGGAACAGTGCTAAAAAAGTGAATCTATTAACAAAGGAAAATGAATTCAGAACATTAAATATATGAGTTACAGAAAAACAAACAAGAATGTGGGGAACATTTTGGAAATTTCACTGATTTAAAGAGATAATAATAACTTATGTGAATCTGAAGAATAATCTAAATATCTAAAATAATGATACAGATAGTTTAATTACATTAGTAAAATATTCTTTTGGAGTTCCTTTAAAGTTTTCAATTATGTGGTACCAAGGGCATAGGAATATGAAAAGAATTTTTTGAATGTATAAGAACATGACCACCAAATAAAAAGAATATATTCACACTATATCAGAAGGCTGCTATTTCAAATTCATGTGATAATTTAAGAAACAAAGTTACATAGGAATTATAACTGTACATCACATTCAGTAAAAAAAAAAAAAAAAAAAAAAAAAAAAAAATGTATTTCTCAACTTAGAAGGTCCCCCACAAAGGAAAAAATGTCCAGACTTTTCTAAATCAAAAATGTAAAAAAAAAATTTGAAAATTTTTTTTTTTTTTTTTTGAAAGGCCAAAAGAGATGCTAAGTAAGAATTTTCTAAGAAGATATGATGCAAATAAGAAACGCCTGGGACATAGGAAAGGGAATGCTCAGTGGCAAGAATGAAAAGCATGTCTGAAGGATGGAAAAAGGATAAACATCATTAGTACAGTAAAAGGTTACAGGCAATTCAACTTTTAGAAAATTTCTGTAAAGAAATAACCTTGCAAGTGAGTATAGCTGTATCTAAAAGCTCCACGAATTATGTTTTCAATAATAATAAAAAAATCAGAAACTCAAATGACCACCAAAAAGGGATCACCTAAATATATTATGAAACATCATAAGGCAGACTACAATGCAGCCATTAAAACTCATATAAAAAATATTTAATCCTGAACAAAAATGTTTATATGAAGGAAAATAAATTAATAAATTCCAGACATTTTTAACTGCCAATTTTGTTCAACTAAACATGGTATTATATTCATAATAAATATTTGTATTTTAATTAACCCTAAGCAGTGGGATTTCAGATCAATATCATTTTCTTCTTTTATGTATGCCTGAGTTTGTAGAGCTTTTACATGTATTCTACTGTAAACAAACCAAAAAAGTTACTAAAAAAAAAAAAAAACTTCTTCTACCAACAAAGCAACTTACTACACATATTTATTCCTATTCTAGGAAGAAAATCCAAAAAGCTTAATAGTATTTTGTTTTGTATATGTCTGCATGGGTATAAAGTAGGGGAAAAAATGTACCTAACCTTATACCATATACCTGTACCATCTCTTCTTCTGTTCTGAAATACACTTACATTTCTCAACTTAGTGAGACCCTGTCTCAAAACAAAAATGTTTTAAAAGGCTGAGGATATGTCAGTGGTTAAGCACCCCAGGGTGCTTTGAACTCCTGGGTTCAATCCCTGGTACAAAAAAAAAAAAAAGAGGGCATTTCACACAGAACAAACAAAACTAGACTTCTTGATCCTCTTCATCTAATACTCCTCTGTCCATGTTTCCATGTAGTGATAGATTAGAATATTCCTTTTTTAAAAAAGATACCACAGTTCCACACAGCATTACATGACTCATTTGTGTCATCTGAGGGATCCATAACATATGATAAAACTACAGTTCAGATTTTGTGATACAATGTTTATAACCAAGCAAAATACTCCATACATGAATTATGTTTCTAACTTCCTATTTCTGTAGAAGATGACTCTTTAAACACAATAAGGACCCCACATATTCATATACACCACCTCAGCCAGAATGTTCTTTTGAAGGTATAGATTTCTAGCTTTTAAGCCACTTCAATTATCTACAACAAAACAAGTTTCCTAACAAACAATGCTAACCAGATTGGCACATCTGAATAATTATCACTTGTCATTAAATACTATCAAACTCTTCAGGGTAAATTCTTCATTTTTTTTTAAATCAGAACTTCAGAGTGAGAACTCATCCATCAATGACTTATTTGTGAACTACACATGAAAAAATAAAATTACACAGTGCTTTCAATGGTTCTAGAAAAAGATTCATCAGTGGAATCATGACATTGATTCACATCTAAAAATTATTCCAAGGCAAAATGTCAACATGGTATCAAATATACTGAAGGGAAAACTGAGTAATTTTGTAGAACCTTCTTTAAAAAGGCATTTTCCTGGTATCAAATATAAGTAGAATGAAGCAGGGTATGTGTGTGTGTGTGTGGGGGGGAGATTTGAGTAGGCATTTTTGATAAGTAAGAACTTCAGTCTGAAAAAGGACTACTTCTTTAAGCAACACATCCCAGCTACTTGGTTACTGAAGTATTTCCTCATATTCATCTATCATTTCCACCATATATAAGAAAGAAAGAAAGAATAATTAAAAATCTATCACCATCTATGGATCTTGTAAAAATAGGTTTCTCTCTTCTTTAATTTCATATTCTACAACTATTTCTATTTTTTTCAAAGAACATTTTAAGGGAGTTATTAAAGTATGAGTACAGTTATGGTACAAATTAGTCTGTAGAGATAACAAACAAACAAACAAATAAAAAAAGTGTAACAATAATCCCTCATCTGTAAATGCTCAAAATGCATAAAAAAGGAAACATGAAATAAACTGAAATATTTTTACTATGCTCATAAAATTATGAAATATATATTTTAGAAAAATTAAGTCTTAAATTTTTCTTATCTATAGTTATAGAAATCAGCTTTTGGCAGTAACTTACCCACACATTTGAAAATAATATAAAGCAAAGTTTTGAATTAGTAAATAAAACCATTAAATGGCTAAATTAATTCCTAAATTAGTATTTAGTACATTTGAATTGATGCTTCTTTAATCATTCATAAATGGAGATGGGTATATCTTCTGTAATACACTTCAATGCTTACTAGCATCCAAAATAGATTCCATGTATATTTTCAATAGAAATGTAATGTTTCTAATATAAATCCAATACAATAAATAATGAATAGATAAATTTAGGCTTATCATTATTTGGCATAATTGACCCAAGTATTAATGAGCAGTTAATAGTATAAAAAGAGACTGCAAAATTATGTGCCTCTTAAATTCCAAATAGTCAGTCCCCTAGTTATTCCTCCCATAAAGAATCTGGAACTCCCTAGCAACCCAACACACACACACACCTGTAACTGACCAATCTCTAGATCCAACTACAACCTACAAGAAATATATAGAAAAAAGTAGCTTGTTTAACAGCTCCACAATGGTACAATCAACAAATTTAGACCACAGCAAACTCTACAGGACAAATAAGCTCCTATCTTTTAACAATTTATATAAGAGGAAAAAATGATGGAAAAAGAACCTATAGATTAAAATACCTAAGAGACTTACTTCACAACTACAATGTCTACACCTTATTTGAAACCTTATTCAAACAAATTTTAGGTACATATTTATATGATCACATGTGTGTATATATGCATGTGTGTCAGAGTATATACGTGTGTATATATATATATATATATATATATATACACACACACACTCATAATACACAAAAAATTAGAACTGAAATAAAAATTTGAATGAATTATTACTATTATTATTTAAATAATTTATAACCATATTGAGGTTTAACAAATAAAAGTCTTGTTTAACAGACATAAAATACTTAATCTCTTTTGTGTTTAAAAGTACCACTGTTACATAGTTATATATATTTAAGGGTAATCAAATACCCTCAACTAAACTGATGCTTAATGAAGAATGAATGCTGAGGCACGTACAGTGGTGCACACTTGTAATGTGAGCAGCTTGGGAGGCTGAGGCAGGAGGATGGAAAGTTCAAAGCCAGCCTCAGCAAAAGAGAGGTGCTAAGCAACTCAGTGAGACCCTGTTTCTAAATGAAATATAAAATAGGGCTGGGGAAGTTGCTCAGTGATTGAATGTTTCTTGGTGTTCTATACATATACCACCCAAAAGCTATTGAAAAAAGACATACCTGCATGACTGTTGAAATGTGCAAAGTTAGCAAAATTGGCTGTGGCTGTTGACTGAGGAGCTGGAGCAGCAAAAATGTCTGAGCCAAGATCACTCAAAAGATCAAACTGCTTCTTTTCTTGCTGTTGTCCTTGAGAGCGACCAACGACTGGGGACTAAAAACCACATGTCAACTATAAAGATTTTTCAGTAAGAGCTGCTGAATTTTTATACAAAACTATCTCTAATTCATGAAGTATTTATATGCAGGAAGAGTTACAGTATACTGACTTAATTCCTTTGTTCATATTTTTCACCCAGACCTTTTGTGAAAACAAAGCAATTTATCCAAAAGCCCTAGAATGCACTATAAAAATGGTAGAATGTAATCTACAGTACTATACTTCAGAACCGCTGTATAGGATTAAAGTTGCAATGCCACGCAGAACAAGATCTGTCACAACTCCATCTAGTACAACAAAGTACTAACCTCAGAAATCAATTTATGAAGACTGTACTCTTCATATTTTCAGAATAAGTTATAAGGGAAAGCCATCCGAGTTTCAATGATAAACATGCCACACAATCACACATTTGGGAAAATCTTATTATATCCCGTTAAAGTACATCACAGAAGCTATCCTGCTCTGTCACTACAGATTCAGGTTTCACTAATTGTTTATCAAGACAGATAGCTTTAGCAACTTTCCTGTACACCTCCATAAACTGTAGAGAAGTTAAAGCAATCAAAAACAGAACAAAACCACATTCCTATCACTTACCCAATAATCAATTAATGTATTACAAACCATGAGGACATATGTTATATTGCTGTCTTAGATTCTCAAATTAAAAAAATTCTCAAATTCTTGGGCTGGGGATATGGCTCAGTGGTAAAAGTGGTTGTCCAACACCACAAAACAACAAGACAGACAGACACACACACACCCCCTCTCAAATTCTTGATATTCAATTCTCCTTAAGTGGAAGTCCTTACAAAGACTTTTAAAAGACTACTCACCTGAGTAGGTGTGCCCTTATTTAAGTGCAGTGCTGGTGCAGAATCTCCTAAAAGAGATTTCAGTGGTTTGACCTCAGGTGTGCTGCTTGTGCTACTGGCAGAGGAACCTGAAATAGATGCATGAACTGATGCCACCACTTTGGCTTGTTCTGGTGGGACATACCTAAAACGTGAAAATTAGAATAGGTAGTTAATTTTTAAAGCATAGGAATCCTACACTAAAAGATAAGCTCAATTCTAATTTTGTACAAAACTGTTTCCACATTAATCTTATCTGAAAAATCTCACTTAAAATTGATAGCTTAAGACTACACTTAATTGGAACACCAGAGAATGTAATAGATGAACTAAAATACTTTTTTCAATTATTTACCAATGGCTTTTATAAAAAATTATATATTTATTATTTTTATAAATACAATATACCAACTGTTTTTTAAAACAGAAGATGAATAGTTAATACTGTAATTTTCTGTTATGTTATACATGTATCAGTAGCTTATTATTTTTATTGCAATATAATTTGATTATTTAGCTCTTTTTAATTTATTTATATTGGTGCATAATTATAAATAGTGAAATTCATTAAATCATATTTGTACAGGCATATAATTTCATAAATTTCATTCCCCTGTACCTTCCCTTTCCATCTTTTCCTCCCTCTCCCTGATCCACTTGCTCTACTCTACTGACCTTTTATTATTATTACTGTAATTAGTGCATTATCAGAGTGTGTGTGTGTGTGTGTATATATACACACATACACCCATACACCACATATACATACATACACACATACATACATACATGTGTATGAGAATTCATTGTAGTATATTTTTACACAGACATAGAATGTACTTTAATTTTTAAAAACAAAAATATATTAAGATCATAAACATTTGGAGATGTAAAAGAAGGTAAAGAAACATTTATTATATTACAGTTAATAGTCTTAAAATATAAGGAATTATTATAAATCTATAATAAGATCATTTAAATTCATTTTGAAATGGACCAAACCAATTCACAAAAGGAGACACAGATATGAAAACTTATAAAGGAAAAAAAATGTACAATTAAGCTATCTCCCATCCACATGTGAACTTCATGCTGTCTACTGAAACACATTCACACATATGCTCTGTGCCCCAGAAGTACCCATTCCAGAAACTTATCCTTAGCAATCAACTTGGTAAGTGCATATTGGTACATGAACATGCATGTTACCACAGCAATTTAAATAATTTTTTAAAAATTGGAGACAAACTGTACATCCATCACGAAAAAAAAATACTTAAAGGGATTATGCTAAAATTTATAATAATATTATGGAGCTACTCTGCTTGACATGGAAAGATTCCCATAAGATGTCATAAGTGTTTCAGGTTTAACCCCATCATGGCAGGATTCATGGGAGGAGGGCAATGAAGGGAGGAAAAAAGCAGTAAGGATAAAATGCCCCAAAGTTGGCAATGCTAATCTCTAGACGTAGCATTATTGAAATCTTCTGTTCTCTGTAATTATAGGTCTACCCTACTCTCCATCCCATCCCCCATAATAAACAGTTGGACAAGTAAGAACATAGTATTGTTAAGAGCACCTATTCCAGTGACAAGATCCCAGCTTCACCACTTAATGGCTGTGAAAACTTGGGGCAAACTTCAACCCTGTTCTTTCATTTTCATCTATAAAATGGAGATAGAGTTGCTGTGGGGTTTAAATGAGTTACCATTTGTAGAACACACAGAACAGTTCTTAGTACATTAACTATAGGGAGTGCTAGTTATTACCGAACACATAATAATCATGAGCAATTGCTTTTTTAAATAAATGGTAGAAATGACAAGAGATGTAAGAATGAATACAAAGAAGCTATGCTTTCCTGTAATTGGGCATTCCACTGACAACATAAATTCTTGAGTACAGCCAAACCAGATAAGAGTTTATAGCACAAAAAACCACTTAAAGTAAAGGGACTAATCTTGCAGAAGATTGAGGAGTGATTCTCAAAAGATCATGAATAACAACAGCATCACTGTTATAAGTGCAGCTTTCTATATTAAGGAGTCTTAGCGAGACTGTATTTGGATAGTGCTCACACCACATTTACCAAAAGAAAAAAAAAAAAAAAAAAGCTTGCCGCTACATTAGTAATTATCACTGCAAAATTGTTGTAGATCATATGCCAATTTTTTTACAGAACAGTAGGGTGAGACCACCATTATGTGAAGCTTTTTAAAAAAATTGTGCAGATATTACTTAAAAATCATTTATCACTAAAGCTGTCATTAGTGCAAGATTAGCAGGCACAGAATACTGTGGATATACATTAATACAGTGGCCACAATTTTGCACTGAAATACAGTACATGTTAGGAGTGTGCAATCAAGAGCAGAGTTAAAAAGATATACATAGGTTCTGGCCCTTGAAAATAATGGTCACCCCTCTCCACCTACCATTTACAGTTTGTATTTGTATTACTCTTGCTATTACTATTCTGTTAGAATACAAGGACTTATAATTACTTCAGGCTTTTTAGTTATTTAGCTTATGGTTTGAAGGAATAACTTATTATTCTTATAAATACAGGACTGTCAATCTATGGTTTTAATTCTATCAATATTATTCACATTTTCTCTTACAATTCACATTCATTTTTATCTTCATGGCTAATACTACCCTATCTAAAATCCTAACCAAACTTAGTTTCTTAGTTGTTGAAAGTAATACTGATAAGAAAACTGAAAATTACACCAGGACTATGCAAGGAGAACACTCTTCTATAGAGTATAAAGTGTATAAGAAGTTAAGAATTAAATGGTAAAAGGACAATATCACTTTCTTTAAAAGAATTATTCATTTCACTATATTTTTATTATCACCTTTTAATACTTTTTCTTTTCTGAACTGAAATTATAGTGGTATATTTCTACCTATATTCATAACCAATGTACCTAGCACCAGTGAATATAGTCCTGGTTAATTTTGCCTTGCAAAAAGTAGTCTGTTTTAGTGATCAGTAAGAATATAAACCTGGGGCTGAGGCTGTAGCTCAGTGGCCTAGCATGAGTGAGGAATTGGGTTCGATCCTCAGCACCACATAAAAATAAACAAATAAAATAAAGGCATGCTGTCCATGTACAACTACAAAAATTAAAAAAAAAAAAAAAAGAAATATATAAATCTGACCGAGCATACAAATCAGAGCTAACGTGCTTACTGACTGAGAGTAAAGATCACTCCCCTATAAACCACAGCAAGTGTTCTCTCAGGACCAAAACAGGTTATAAATATATCATCTGTTGGGGAAAAGTGGCAGTTTACTTCCTCATTATCTATTCCCTCTATTCTTGACTCCTCTATCTTCTTAACCTCCAAAGAAGTAAAGATGCTATTCAAAACTGCTCATAGTTAATGAGTACTATACCTATATTATGACATAAAGCTAAAAATGAGGAGCCCTAAGTGGTTGAACACTAGCTCTGTAGATATAGTCCTTGCTGTGCTGTAAGGGACACATTAGCTTTACGTATAACCTATTAAAATAATGGATTTAGTTAAGGAAGTATAAATGCTCCCTTCTTAACCAGGTAGCAAATTGACTGAGTCCTGGTAATTATAATTAAAAGGCTGCTAATAGGTATAGTGAAGTAAGATAAAGGAGTAAACATTTTTGAAAAACAAATCCAATAATAAACCAAACGATAATGAGAACCTACTTACCTACTTAGCTACTTTGTTTTCTTCCTGTCTGCCTTCCTTCATCATAATAGACTAACCTTAACCATAATTAATAAAATTTTGTGAGGCTTTAGTGGAAATACAAACAGTTCACTCACCATCTTTTCTTTTCATATTTTTCTTGTAAAAACTCTTTCACTTTTTGTGGATCCCTGAAGTCTGGAATCGCTGAAGATCTATCATCAAATAATCCTAGCCAGATCTGTTTACAGACCTTTGGAAACAATTAAAAAAGAAGTGTTAAATTCAATATCTTCACTTACTGACAAAGAAAAAATTATATTCCTTTCAGAAAGCCAACATACTTAATAATTTCAATAGTAATACATTCAATGAGGATTTTTTTATAACCACAAAGGACTGAATTTATTTTAGTATGTTGCGATACACAGTAAAATTTTAGCAGAATCATGAAAGATGGCACTTTATAAAAAAAATGAATAGTAAACCAAGATTTGAGAGGATTAAGGGTTTGGTATTGTATTTGGTCTTGGCATGATCATAACCTATTAGCACAATCATGTAATCTATAAAATCTGTTTCCTCACCCATAAAACAAACTCAATCAGTAGCAATTTTACAGGCCCTTTAACAAGTTTAAAAATCAACCAAAAAGAAAAATTCCGGATCATAAATAATTTGCTATTAAAGTATAACAATAATAAACACAAATACAACTCTAGCTTCATATTTTATAATTGCCTCCTGTGCTTTTTTTTTATTTTTTATTTTTTGGTCTAATGGCTAAAAAAAAAAAAGGTCAATCTGAGATATTCAACTTATTTGAAGAAGTAGAAGAAATGAAATGATGCAGAATGGAAATAGGACACAAAGAACACAAAAAAGAGCTACAAAGAAAAAAATTAAAGTAAAAACAAAATTAAAAACTGCTTACTCTCCGGGCATAGTGGCATATGCCTATAATCCCAGCAACTCAGGAAGCCGAAGCAGGAGGATCACAAGTTCAAAGCCAGCCTCAGCAACTAAGCAAGGCCCTGAGCAACTTAGTTAGACCCTGTCTCAAAATAATAAATAAAAAGGGCTAGCGGATGCGGTTCTGCCGTTAAGTACCCCTGGGTTCAATCCCCCATACAAAATAACACTGTTTACTCTTCAGTCTTGAAAGAAAAAAAAAAAAATCAAAAAGGCAAGCTACAACAGATAAAAAGTATTTGCAAAATCTGTAAGAACTTGAATCCTGAACATATAAGAACCCCTACCACTCAACTGTAAAATACAGACCACCCAATATAGAGGGGTCAAAATATTTGAACAGTTACTTTATCGAAGATTTACACATTACAAATAAGTAGCCTAACATCACAAGTCAAGTGCAAAGTGCAAACTGAAATGACACTGAGACTCCATGATAAAGACATCCACAGACTATACCACTAGAAAAGCTAAAAATAAAGAGTGACTATACCATGTGTTGGAAAGAGTGTGGAGTAAATAGAACTTTCCAGAATGTAAAATGTTAACAAACACTTGGGGAGTTTCTCAAAAGTTAAACATATATGTAGCGTACATGACCTGATCATTCTACTTCTAATTACCCAAGAAAAATGAAAGCACATGTCCACTCAGATTTGTATACAAATATTCACTACAGTTTTATTATTAACAACTCCAAAATGGAAATAACTTAACCAAATGTTCATTAAACAGATGAATGCATTAACACATTTTGGAATTGTCAAAGTAGAATATTAGTAAGCCATTAAAAGAAACAATTATTCAACAAGAAACATGAATAAACCTTAAGATAACTGTGCTGAGAAGTCAAAAATTCCTCCAAAAATGTACATACTGTATTATTCCACTCGTTTAAAATTTTAGGAAATATAAACTTCTCCATAGGCAAGAAAAACAGATGAGTAAAAATCATTACAAAGGGGTGGGCACAGAGCCTTCTTGATGAAGTGGTGGTGGGTTCAGTGTATACATGACAAAATTCATCAAATTGTATACTCATTATTTCTCAGTAAATCTGTATATAAAATAAAAGTCTACAAATGTTCCCAAAATTGTATTAGTTTAAAGAATAATCAATTTGACATTGAAAAAGGAAAACTTGACAAATACTTGGGAAATCAGAGAAGGAAAAGCATATGCTTTTCAGTCTTACCTGCTCACTTGACTGAGTAAGAAATAAAAAAGAGAAAGGATAGGAGAAGGACTCAAACTTCCTTTCCATCACATCCCAAGCATATCTCAAAAATAACCATTTCTTGTGGTTCCCTTCTATGCCAGGCACAGAACAGACATTATAAAGTCATCAAGGCAGTTAACAGTTAACACATGTAAAGGCCTAGGCTAAAGCACAATTCCATTATAAAAACATTTCAGTGACAAAGCCTGAGAAGTTCAGATACCCAGGAATGGTAACAGAACTTACTGCCAAAAATGCTATATTAAATTAAAGAGACCCGGGGCTGGGGATGTAGCTCAAGCAGTAGCGCTCTCGCCTGGCATGCGTGCGGCCCGGGTTCGATCCTCAGCACCACATACAAACAAAGATGTTGTGTCCACTGAAAACTAAAAAATAAATATTAAAAAAAAAAAATTCTCTCTCTTTAAAAAAATAAAATAAATTAATTAAAGAGACCCCGCTTATCTAGTAATTTCTCAGCCAGTTAGGACAAAAAGAACTATACATAGTACTCTCCTTAGGCAGAAACCTAACAAATGATTCTCCCAAAATGTAATATTTTGGTATTCTGCAACTGTACATTTACAATCATAAAGGGAGGACTATAAGTTTGTCAGAAATAATAAATTCAGTGAACCAAATTGCTCATATTATATATAGGCCAGAGGTCAGCAAATTGCAACCCATGGGCTAAATGTGGCCTAAGATCTTTTGTCTGTAGACAGAATTTTATTGAAACACTCAGGTCCACATGCTTGTCTCATGTGTGACTAACCATTTTAGTGAATGACATCAGTACTGAGTAGTTACAACAAAGACCTTACAGATAGCAGAGCATAAAATCTGATGTTTCACGGAAAAAATTTGCTAATTCTTGACACAATTGCAACTATGGACTTATTACAATACTAACCCAGCATACAGGAATAATAATAAGGGATAGGGAAAGAAATGTGGAATGAATCTAACTGAATCATGTTATATATTTACTATTTAAAATATTAAAAATAGTATTTACTAGTTTTTAAAGGATCATCACTTAAAAAGCAGCCCCTCCCACACTCCCACCAGCAGCACTACACAGGACTGCTAAAATTCAAGTTTAGAAATCCACAAAGCTGGGGCTGGGGTTGGGGCTCACCTAGTATGTGCAAGGCGCTGGGTTCGATCCTCAGCATCACATAAAAATAAATAAATAAAATAAAGGTATTGTGTCCAACTACCACTTAAAACAACTAAAAAAAAAGAAAGAAAGAAATCCACAAAGCTTAAAACACGAGAGTCTGCCATAATTTCAACAACTGGAAAGTGAGGAATAAATCTCCAGAAGGGAGATAAGAAAATAGGCACCACCAAACCTATATATCAACTGTGCCCAAATCTCTAGTTCAACATATGGATTCTACCACTTCCCCAAGGATAATATGCCATATGTTCAATTAAGGACTAAAAAATTGAGCAGAAATTTCAGCTGGCACCTAACAGGGAAGAAATCAAGAGTTTGCCAAAAAGCAAAACCAATACCAGTTGGAGAAACAATATAAAATGAGAATATTCTCATGACTTTGAAAAGAGATTTCTTAAAACAGGGCGGAGAAAGCATTAACTACAAAACTGAAAACTGATAAATTACATCTCATCAAAATAACAAACTTCTAGCCACAGGCTAGGAGAAAATATTATTAAGGATATAACTGACAAAGAATGTACAAATTCTGATATATTCATAAGATATTACTCTAATAAAAAGAAAAATAGCTATATGCATCCACACATAATACTCTCAAAAGTATTACACAAAAATGCACATTCTTCACTATTTTATTTTTATGAATACAAATAAAAAAAATGGTATCTCTTGAGAAGGGAAGAACAGGAAGGGGTATCAGAGAATGATATCTGTTTTCTATATCATTCATTACCGAGGTTTTTGGGTTGCCAAACTGGAAATAATTAATAGAACTCATCCAGGAACTGGAGGTATAACTCACTGATAAAAGCACTTGGCACTGCAAGAAACAAAACAAACAAAAGAAACTTTTCCAAGAGTACAATGAAGATTCTTGAATTGAGCTGTACTCAAATTCAAGCATACTCAAAAATACTCAACTAATATTATACTCTAATTAATGACACAAATGCCAAAGATTTTAGTAGCGATGTAAAGTAGTACTTGAAACTTACTTTAGACTGATAAACAGATAATAAAAACAGCCACTAAAAGAAATATATCACAATGTTTATTATACTTGTATAATTTTTCAATTTTACATGTGTTTGGGCTGAAGGGAAAACTGACAGATCTGGCCACTATGCTGTGGATTCCAGCAACCCCTGCCCAGGACCAGGATCCTGCTGTGGCTATACATTACAGAGATTCTATAGCACAGCAGGTAGCCTAACCAGGCTTCCTGCACAAAGCTGCTGCTAGCACTACCATGCTCACCTGCAGTAAGACCTGTGGCACTATGCTGCTATCTGTCAAATGGTACAACCAGAAGTCATCATTTCACACTAGAAGACAGCTGTTCACAGCCATGGAACCCTTGGAAAGATCACAGACTACGAGATTATCCTTGGGGAAGTGGTAGAATCCACAGTTCTATAGAAGACTGACAAAAATATTCAAATATCCAAAAAGTTCCTGGGGATGCAACCTTTGAATACTTGTACCCAAAGTTAATCTTGCCACGCAGAAGGGCTTCAAGTTTAAGAAACAGAACTAAGAAACTCAATGCCATCAATCTGAAATTCTATGTGCCTAGAGCCTGTTTTTAATTTCTTCTTACCAGTTCATAAAGCATCCAAAACCAGATGACATTCTGTCTTGCCAAGAGAGAGACAAGACTTCTTTATTCTGAAGAAAGAACCAAGCATCAGTTTTTAGGAACCTGATGCTAGAGCAATGGAAAAGACACAGGGGGACTACTATAATTCAGATATACCAGGCACACCTATGCCACTTGAGTTGCCTAACAAGGCATTGAAAGTTATTTGAGCCAATGTTTCAGGATCTTAACAGGCAGGACCTTCCAGTTTACATGGTAAGTATCTAGTCCCAC